GGGGGACATTAATACACTTCTCTCACTACTGGATAGATCCTCCAAATAAAAACCACACACACACACAAAAACTACAGAACTAAATAATATAATCAATAATTTAGACTTAACAGACATATATAGACTATTTCATCCATTAACAAGTGAATACACTTTCTTCTCAGTAGCACATGAATCCTCTAAGATAGACCATATCTTATGCCACAAAGCAATTCTTAGCAAATACAAAGAGAGAGAGAGAGAGAGAGAGAGAGAGAGAGAGAGAGAGAGAGAGAGAGAGAATACTCTGAATACTATCAGATTATAGTGGAATGAAATTAGATATGATAAAATTTTAAAAATAGAAGCTATTTTAATGCCTAGAGACTAAATAATATGCTATTGAATAACAAATGGATAGCAGAAGAAATCAGGGATGAAATAAAAAATACTTAGAGGTAAATGAGAATACTGATACAATATATCAAAATCTCTGAGATACTGTGAAGGTAGTGCTAAGAGGAAAATTTATTGCATTAAGCTCATCCATTAAAAGAATAGAAAGTCAATAAATAAATGACCTAACATTACATCTCAAAGCCCTAGAGAAAGAACAAATCAACACCAAAAGCAGTAGAATAATTAAATACAGGGAATAATTAAATACAGAGCTGAAATCAATGAAATTATAACAACAACAACAACAACAACAAACAACTCTAAATATTGACAAAAAGTTGGTTCTTTGAAAAGATAAATAAAATTGATAAACTCTTAGCCATGCTAATGAAGAGAAAGAGAAAAATTCAAATTACTAAAAATTCATGCTGAAAAATGAAATATGAAAACAGACACTACTGAAATACAGAAGATAATCAGAAATTATTTTGAAAGTCTATACTCCAATAAAAAAGAAAATCTTGTAATATCAACAAATTTCTAGAGACATATGACCTACTCAAATTGAATCAGTAGGTCATACACCCTTTAAACAGATCAATTTCAAACAATGAAATAAAAGATGCCATCAAAAGCCTACCAATTAAGAAAAGCCAAGGACTAGATAGATTCTTAGCTTAGTTTTACAAGACCTTCAAAGAAGAATTAACACCAGTATTCCTCAAATTATTCCATTAAATAGAAAAAGAGGAAACTATTCAACTCATTCTATGAAGCTAGTGATATCATCCTGATAACAAAACCAGATACCAAAACCAGGTAAGGACACATAAAGGGAAGAAAACTTTAGACCAAAATCCCTGATGAACATAGATGCAAAAATTCTCAATAAAATTATGGCAAATTGCATTCAAAAACATATCAAAAAGATTCAAATGGGATTAATCCCAGGGATGGAAGGTTGGTTCAACCTATGGAAATCAATAAATGTAATACATCACATCAATAGACTCAAAGACAAGAATCAGATGATCATAACGATAAATGCAGAAAAAACATTTGACAAAATATAACACCCCTTTGTTCTCAAAACACTAGAAAAACTAGGGATAGTAGAAATATACCTCAACATTTTAAAAGCTATATATGCTAAACCCAAGGCCAACATCATTCTAAATGGAAAAAAATTGAAAATATTTCCTCTAAGAACTGGAACAAGACAAGGATGACCTCTTTCACTACTTTTATTCAACATTGTTCTTGAAAGTCTGGCCAGAGCAATTACACAGAAGAAAGAAATTAAAGGGATATGAATAGGAAAAGAAGAACTCAAACTATTACTATTTGCCAATGACATGATTCCATATTTAGAATATTCAAAAAAAAACCACCAAAACACTTCTAGAACTAATAAATGAATTCAGCAAAGTAGCAGGATATAAAATCAACACTTATAAATCAAATGCACTTCTACATATCAGTGATGAGTCCACTGCAAAAGAAATTAGGAAAACCATTCCATTCACAATATCCTAAAAAATATTTGGTAATCTAACAAAAGAGGTGAAAGACCTCTACAAAAAAATTACAGAACACTAAATAAAGAAATTGAAGAAGATGTTTAAAGACAGAAAGATCTCTCATGATCTCAGATAAGCAGAATTAACATTCTCCAAACTACCAAAAGCATTATACAGATTTAATGTAATCCCTATTAAAATCCCAATGACACTCTTCATAAAACAAGAAAAAGCAATCACAAAATTCAGTTGGAAATATAATAGACCCAGAATAGCCAAAGCAATACTTAGCAAGAACAGTGAAGCAGGAGGCATCACAATACTAGACCTTAAACTATAGTACAGAGCCAAAGTAACAAAAGTGGTATGGTATTGGTATCAAAACAGACACATAGACCAATGGTACAGAATAGAAGACAGAGACAAACCCACATATATACAGTTATCTCATACTAGACATAGGTATCAAAAAATACATTAGAGAAAAGATAGCCTCTTCAATAAATGGTGCTGGAACAACTGAAAATCCATGGGTAGCAAAATAAAATTAAACCCCTTTCTCTTACCCTGCACAAAAGTCAACTTGAAGTGGATCAAGAACTTAGACACTAAAACAAGAGATCCTGTGCCTAACAGAAGAAAAAAGTAGACTTAGATTGTTAGCAGGTCAGCTTAGGAACTGACTTCCTTAACAAGACCCTAAAGCACAAGAGGTAAAATCAAGAATCAATAAGTGGGATGGAATCAGACTAAAAAGCTTCTTCACAGAAAAGGAAGCAATCAATAATGTGAAGAGAGAACCTACAGAATGGGAGAAAATATTTACCACATGCATCTCAGATAGAGCATTAATATCCAGGGTATACAAAGAACTAAAAAAATAAACAAAAAACTTAACACCCCAAAATAAATAAATAAATAAATAAATAACCCAATCAATAAATAGACTAAGGACCTGAATAGACACTTCACAGAAAAAAATGCAATTGGTAAACAAACATATGGAAAAAAAATGTTCCATATCTCTAGAAATTAGAGAAATTCAAATCAAAACTATACTGAGATTTCATCTCACTCCAGTCAGAATGACAATTATCAAGAACGTAAGCAACAATTAATGTTGGCAAGGATGTGGGGGAAAAGGTACCCTCATACATTGCTGGTGGGACTGCAAATTGGTGCACCACTATGGAAAGAGGTATAGAGATTCCTCAGAAAACTTGGAATGAAACCACCATTTGAGCCAGTTATCCCACTCCTCAGCATGTATCCAAAGGACTCACAATCAGCATACTACAGTGATGCAGCCACATCAATGCTTATAGCAGCACAATTCACAATAGCTAACCTATGGAACCAACCTAGGTGCCCTTCAACAGATGAAAAGATAAAAGAAAATGTGGTATATATACACAATAGAATACTACTCAACCTTAAGGAAGAATGAAATTATGGCATTTGCTGGTAAATGGATGGAGCTGGAGAATATCCTGCTAAGCAAAATAAGCTAAAACCAAAAATCCAAAGGCTGAATGTTGTCTCTGATATGTGGCTCCTAATTCACAATAAGGTTGGGCGTGGCTAGGGAAGAAAAATGTTTGGATTAGACAGAGGGGGGAGTGAAGGGAGGCCAAGGGATATGGAGGTAGGAAGGAATGTAGAATAAAGTGGACATTATTACCCTATGTGCATATATGATTACATTACATGTGTTACTCTATATCATGTACAAGCAGAAGAATGAGAAGTTATACTCTATTTATGTATGATGAGTCAAAATGCATTCTACGGTCATGTATAACTAATTAGAATTTTAAAAAGAATATATTCATAAAAAAAAGAAAATCTAAACTCATGTTTGTTGTTGTTGTTGCTTATGTGTGGTCAGCATGGAAATGACTGGCAGGAGTGGAACTGGAAGAAATTATCAGTTCTCAGTTTTCATCAGATATTATCTGTTTTAATTTACAAAAGCTTGAAGGTATAGGTAGATTTTATTTCAATTATCATCAAAAACTGCAAGAACAGAACCTATGTAAGATATTTTGATCTCTTCTTTAGTTATAAGTATTCTGAGGCAATTTGGAAAACATTATAAATTAAGATGGTAACATTAAAACTTTCTTGATGAGGTGAAAAAGAAGAGCTATTTATAGCTTTTCATTTAAAAATACTTTGTAGTTATGGATAAAAATTGTTTTGTGTTAGGAAAATTTTTATTCAAATAAAAGTTTTTTTTTTTGTTTAAACAGCTCACCACATGTTTCCTTATTTATTAATTTCTAATATCTCTAGATATTTTGGAGGTAGCTAGTGTTCATGCTGGCATTTTACCCACTTGTTTACAATTGTCATACAACAGGAATCAGATGTTAAGTGACTGGAGGGAGAGTTAGGAATCATCTTCGGCTTCAGGGCTGTGGGAGAAGAGCAGCAATTCTGCAGTCTTCTCATTTCTGTTGTCCCCTCCTGAACTCTCTAAAATTCAGTTATCTCATTCAACCATGAAACTGGCTTTGTGAGCAGTAGAGAATTCTAGTTCAGAAGAAGGTCCTCCTTATTCTAGCCTGTTAGCTTCTGGTGTCTTTGACTCACATGAGCCATGTGTCCACAAGGCAGTTCAGCACATCTAACCTGACACATTTCAAAGGATGCTTTGGTTTATTCCCAATTGTGGGTTCTTCCTGTCCATCTTCTTGTAAACTTTTCAAATCTCTTATTTCCTATTTTTATTTTTGTACATGCCCCAGGGGCTCAAAAAATTATATTTACCATTGCTAGAGTAGGCTAGGGAGTCTAGGCACACGATTGACCTTGGTTAAAGAATGTGTTTGCTTCACTTTTAGCTGTAGTTTAACTCACAGAGAAACTCGATCTCAAATGTCCTCTGAGAGGACATTTTAAAAAAATGAACATTTGGTGTTTTTTTTGTTTTAGATTTAAACAAAGGAATTTCTTGGTTTGAAAGAAAGACAAGTAATTTCTTCGTTTGAACGAAAGTACATTTGAGTGATGTACTTTCATACATGGAAGAGTTTGTTAAAATCATGATCTGTGATTTTGAAATATTAAGATTAAAAATGAAATAATCAGGTCACTCACCTTTAAATAGAGTTTGTGAGGTCCAGGGTCTTAATCTGCAAATAACTGAGGAAATAATAGGTATGCACAGTGAAGCGGGTTTCTATGATAATCCAAACAAGGTTCCTTTCCCAATTGCTAGCGAATACAAAGTAGCACTGTGTATCCCAGAGACCAACGATAACCCAGGGCATTGCCAAAATAAACATTATGTTGAAACTTGGACTTTGTAAGTGAATATTCCAGTCAGGACTTAACCCTGAAACCCTAAGCATGATATATCATACAGGGTCCTGGATATTCACATTCAAGGTTATTGCAAAAACTTGCTACCACAGAAAAAATAAATCTTTGAAACTATTTTAAAAAACCTTACAGAATAATTGCTTTTCCTTCCTTTCACCAAAAGACATGTGACCATTTAATTAACACATGTATTGTTTTTTATTATAGCATACTTATTGAGATTTAAAATTTATTATTTGTAAACAATATGATTGTTTAGGAAAAAAAATTCACAAGAACTGAAAGACAAGCCTTAGAATTAATAAATGAATTTAGTTAGATTGCTGGATACAAGTTCATTAGAAAACATGTTTCTATACACCCACAGAAACAAATATGAAATATAATTTCCACTAGAGAGATGCAAAGTCAGCAGCCAGTAGAATGAGTCTAAATGGGGCTGCTGATTAACCTGAGCCATGGGAAGGACTGAGAAATGAGATAGTGGTACGCCACTGCACAGGAAAAGCACAGGCAGAAAGAATGGAAGATGGTATGGCAAAGTTTTTGACAGGGAGTACAAATGTCTGATCCAAATACTAGAACTGACCAGGAATCAGCTGTGAATATTGCATCTTTTCAATGATGTATTTGGTTTCCCCATCTTGGGTGCCAAGAATAGTTAAATAATATATCCCATTCATGAGGCCTTTCCTAGAGCAGGGGTTTGTAAACTACAAATCAGTGAGTCAAATCTAGCCTGCTGCCTGTTTTCATAAATAATGTCATATTGGATTAAAGTCTCACAATTAGTTATAGCCTATCTGCTTTTGGACCACAACAGAGTGGAATAGTTGCAACAGACACTATATTTAGCCTGCAAGGCCTGAAATATTTACTAGCTGGTCCTATACAGAAAACGTTATTCTGGTCTGATAAATACAACCACAGTGTCCAGTTGGCTTTGGGAAGTAGGGGTGATTTTATTTGGGACTAAAGAGTGGGCTTCAGCACTAGGAATCCAATACTTGTATGCAACTGTGCTGAGTTCTGCCCCTGGGTGTGCAAAGAATATAAACGCTCTCTAAACAACGTTTGGATATGTGTTGCTGAGAAACAAGCACGCTATGAAGTTTTCCAGCTGAGCTGTTTCAGCAACCACAGGGCTTCTGTAGTGTTGGCTGGTGACATGGAATACTCTTTCAAACAAAATACCCTATAGTTTCATAACATGGAAATTTGCTGGTGACCAGCCAGTAGAAAACGGCTATAATTGTAAAGGAGCAAAAGAGTGCAGAAGGATATTAGGGCCAGGACAGGGAAAGTTAAGATGGAGCAATTATCATTTTTTCCAGAAGGAGAATATGGAGTCTGTTACAAGCCAGTATTCCTCTTCTAATGATGATAGAATCACATCCAAATGATATTTTCTGCCAAGAAAATAACACTAAATATAAGATAATAAACAGTGGAAGCTTCTGACTATCTGAAGGCCTTTTCACATGCTAAGTATTTGTATGTCAACTGTTTATTACAGCAACAAAATACTATCAATTCTCATTAGAACCAAGGCTAATGACCCCATTTATTTCAAAAACCCACAGAGTGTACTTTGTCAGTTGATAAGCAAATAGATAAAGTGAAATGGAAAATTTAAACTATTTCACTTCTGGCAGTATATATACACACTGTGCATGCTGTCAAATATGGAGGAAATAGAATCTGCTTTGGACCTCAGGCTACCATGCTCTTTTTTCTTTATTATTAAAATTATTAGAGGTGTACTCTAAATAGAATAAATAAACTGCATTTAACGTCTTGCTATCTACTCCTCATTCAGTTCACTTTTTGCAATATGGGTTAAAAGAATAAGCAGCCTACATGAACTCTCTTAATTATCACCATTAACTCCCTAATTGCTTAACTGGATGACATCTTCTCAATTCACCACTGGCTTCCTAGACACTATATAAGGCTTGCAGTTATCTGAACACTGAGAAAACTCCTCTTTGGCTTCCATCTATTATTCTTTCCTTACACCCATGTGGGATTCTAACTTCAGTCTCTTTTCTTTAGTTAGTGACTTCATCTACTTCCATGGGTTCATGAATCACCTTTGTGTGGATTGTTTCTTAGTTTGCTGGTCTCAGTTTTCTAATGCTTATTAATAATATCCAAACTGTATCACAGTGATTGTATCATTTCCCCCCCTATTTCTCTTCTCCTTTTAGATGCTAAATCTTGTTTATTTCTGAGTCGCCCTTGTTTATGCATTCCTCATCTTTGCTGTCTTACTACCATGTCTGTGACTCCAGCCCCACTCCAGCCCCTATGAACTCACTCACACCTTGAAGATTGTACCAGAGGCTTAACTGCCATCTGAGCCTTTGGACTCCTGCATCCCCTCCTAACCTACTTTTCCAGCTTATTCACTTTGTATATCACCTCTAAGTTGTTAAACCCTACACAAAATCTCAACATTATTCTTTTAAGGAAGACACCAAATTAGTAACAGCATCCCAATATCAATTATTTGAAACCCTTAGAAATTTGGTTCTATGATAACTTCTTTAGACTTATTTTTTTCTCCTTTCTTTTGCATACTCTACCATCTGGGAAAAAGCACATAACTTGTTGGTCCTCAAAATTGGCTATAGTTTCTCCTACCATTATATCTCTTTCTTAAATATTTTTCTTTTGTTTTTCCAATTTTTGAAATATTAGTGAATTATATATCTCTTCTTCACATTCCATTCCAAAGGTTTCATTTTCAAACATTTTTTTTTTTTATAATCCATAAGTACTTTCACTCTTGAGATGAAATGCCATGTGATTCTTCCATCCTTGAAATTTATATAGCTTCTTTTGGGAGAACATTGATTATTTCCCAGTATTATGATCATTGCATATTACCTATTATCTTTTACTCCATCTAATAGATTCAAAGTTCCTTAATGATAAGGCCAAAATAATATTAATTTTCATATTTGATTAACACAAAATTGTACAAATATTTATTGAATTCAGTTGTATACATATAATGACTTTGTAGGAAAATTGCTGAATTCTACAATATGTCTAAACACATATACCCTTAGCCAACTTTTACCATGTTGGCTTGGCATAAGAGACAACAATCGTTTTGGCAGCAGACTATTTAAAGAATTACTTTTATTTGTATATCTGTTGAATTTTGAACAAAATGATAATATTAGATGTAATAAATCCTTTGACAATTCATTGGAATTAAAAATAAACTTCTATGTAGGCTCTGTGTTAGTCTTCTTTCTGTTACTATAATAAAATACCTGAGGTAAATTATAATGAGAGATTTATTTTGGTTCAGAGTTTTGAATGTTCTAGTTTATGATCAATTAATTCCATTGCCTTGGGTCTGTGGTGAAGCAGTTCATCATAGAAGGAGCATGTGGTGAAGCAAAACCAATCACATCACAAGCTGGGGAGAAAGTAAAGGAAAAGACCACAATCCTTTCAAAGGCATAACCTCTCTGACTCAGTCAGTACCTCCTGAAAAATCTCACTCAACCACTCTATCATCTCATAGTAATGCTATCCTGGGGACCAAGATTTTTACACACAGGCCTTTAGGGAACCTCCCAGATCCAAAGAATAGCAGCCTTCTGTTTCAGAACTGATCTAACATAGACAGTAATTCAAATCTAGTTTGAGAATCAAAACAAGGCAAATCTATGCAAGTTTTACCCCAGCTAGGATTTATAGAGAAACCTAGAAGAGATGCTACCTTAGAGCCTTCTGGTAGAAGCAAGGAAAAAATGTTCACTAAGGTCAGATGGGTCTTATCTATACTCCAGGGTCAGCTTCTTCTTCCTCCTCCTCCTCCTCCTCCTCCTCCTCCTCCTCTTCTTCTTCTTCTTCATCTTCATCTTCATACTGAAGATTGAACTCAAGGGCACTTACCCACTGAACCACATCCCCATCCCTTTTTTTCATTTTTCTTTTTTTTTTTCATTTTTTTTTAGAGAAAGGGTCTCACTGATTTTCTTAGCACCTTGTCAAGTTGCTGGGGCTGGTTTTGAACTCAGGATCCTCCTGTCTCAGCCACCTGAGCCACTGGGATTACAGGTGTATGCCACTGCTACTGGTCCTACTGTACTTCTTCATTTTCTTTTGTCCTATGCATCGTGAATATTGTTACCAAGATAATTTTTCTAAACTTTCACTAGGTTGACAAGAACAGTCTAATATCTAATATGGGTAGCACCTTATGGCTTTAAAAATGCCATAGGAGTAAAAGTATCTTGATTCGTTCATTTAGTTAGTTCATAAATATTCAAACATTATGTGCTATGCATTATGCTAGCCCTGAATATTCAAAAATTAATAATTTTGGTTAGTTCTTTCAAGAACTTCATTTAAAAGTGATAGTTCAATAGAAAAATAAAGCAAGAGGTTCTGAAAGTTTACAAAAATCTACCACAGAAATTAAAACCATTCTTGTACACCTGGACACTCATTCCCTTGTTTTTAGGTGGTAGTCACTATAATTACTACCATTATTATTGTCCAGAGGTTTGTATTCACTCATTCTACAAAAATTTACTACAAGGCACTGTTACAGGTCCTGAAGTAATAAACAAAATAATGTAGGAAAAAATCCTCCTTTTATGAAATTTATAATCTATTGGAGTGAGAGGACAGAAAATAAGAAAATATCTAAGCCAATTATATGATGTTTTGGAAGCATTTCTTTAATATTTATTTAAATATTGTGCCTTTTTAAAATATAGGTTATTCTTTCTGCCTTTAGTTTCTCTTAGTCCTTTGCTTTCTTGGAGAAAAACTGTTCAGTGTGATCCCAGAAAATCTGACCCTACAGGATCTGCTTAGTTGGTTTCAGATCTCACAATTCTGTCCCTTCAACAAGGATGAGGGGTTT